GAGCGAAGCGTTTCACGATGTACATTTAAGTGAAAACGTCTTGAGGAGTGTGAAAGAATATGCACATGGTCAACTACATATGTCGGCAAGAATATGAAAATTTCGAGGAAATTCTGGGAATTTATTTTTGGTTTCTGTACATTTCTACCCGATCTCGTATATAAGCGCTTTTATTTTATGAGGAAACTCCCAAGCTCAGCTGAGGAGAGCAAACGTAAATTCCCCCAACACTGCTTTTGAGTGGTTTTTTGTTATTAGGCATCAGCTTCAACGATAGTGTCCACTCCGTTAAAAAAGAAAGTGTCTCTTTGAAACTGTCAATGGTTTTTCTCTACTACTACATTTGAATCTGTTCAATTCTGTTGTTTTCACGAGTTGTTGCTGGGATAATCGTTTTTGTATTATATATTGGAGCTTCCCCCTAGTGATATGAAAACACTAGTGAAAAGCATATATTTCACGACTACTGCATATCGCCGCGAATATTGCGTTTTTCATACAGTTTTACGCCACTTCGCGTAAAACGGGTTGTGACACTCTACTGTATTTTACTCGTCCACTTGAGCATGTTGCTGTGAGTGAATGACTTCAGATGTCTCCTACAATTGTTATCCTTTTGATGAGCCTCTAGGGAAGAAGTTCCTGTTATTATTGCATCATTTTACACGTATTTTATCATAGGCTTTCGAGTGTTGAGTTGAAGCGCTGTTAAACACATATGTTGGTGACAATAGGAAAATTGTGAGGAAATTTTGGGAAATTATTATCAACTGCTGTACATTTTTACCCGGATTTGTATAACGTAGCTTCGGAAACTCCTGATCTTAGCTGAGGAAAGCAAATATATATTTTAATATTGTTGGTGAGAGAATGTGTGATGCGTTGGGACGCTGAGAGAAAGTCTATACAGTGCGTGTGAATTTGATATGATGCAAACGTGTGTTATTTTCCGAGATTAATAAGAATCGATCTGAAACTATATCGCATAAACATTGTTATGAACATGTGATGTGATAAAAGTAACCTTTCGAGACTATGATAGCGACAAGTTGTTCACTATCATTAATCCCGGAATAGAAAACACGCATTCTTCACATTTGCAAAAATTGGAGTTTCACCCTAGTGATATGAAAAACACTAGTGAAAAGCATATATTTCACGACTACTGCATATCACCGCGAATATCGCGTTTTTCACAGAGTTTTATGTAACAGGTGAAACTCTATTGCCTAGAAGAAAAATGTCGTTGTTAACACCAACGATTATAGTGTCGCTCGCGACTCGCGTATGTTGGTGATTTGTCCATTGAAATAACACTACACTGGATATTATCGCAGGACAATGCCTTACAAGGTCTGATTATACTTGACCGATGCAGACTATCTTCATCATAAGCTTAGCTCAGAGATTCCTTCACCCGATAGGGACACATTGTGTGCTACGGGCGAGCATTGGTGTTGCAGCGGCATCTACCAACAGTTTTTATGATGAGTAACGATACCGACACACAGTCGATTGAAGTGGCTGTTCCTTTCGAAAAGCTCAGAGATTTCAGAGTGACGGTGCAGCTGTACCCGATAGGAAATGTGAGGCTGTTAGTCGTGTGGAAAAATATGCGCATGAACAACTACATGTGTTGGTGACAAGATGAAAGTTTTGAGAAAATTGTGGGAAATTCTTGTTGATTTCTCGTACGTAAACTCCTACAATGGAGTTTCACCCGCGATATGAAAAACGCTAGTGAAAAATATATTTCACGACTGCAGTATTTTTTCACGGAGTATTATGCAACTTCACGTAAAACGGGTGAAACTCCTATAACGCGTGAGAAAGTTCCTTGCACCAGCTGAGGAAATCAAACGCATATTGTTAGTCGTGAAGATCATTATAATGTGTCCATAGGCACCACCCTTAAAACAATGCAAATTTGCTATGGCCGGCTCGACACCGGTGAGAGTGTTGATTAAGTTTCTCGAGGGCGCGGTTATGCATAGTGGAACGCATACAGGAACTCAAGAGCCAGATGTGAGTGAGTTCAGGAGAGTGTGGTATGTGTTAACTTTAAGCGATGATAAATAGAATTTCATATTCATAAAATCAACTAAAATGATTTTACTAACTTAGTTGAACTAAGTTCAAGTGTTCTCACTTCACTTCGTGTCGCGTAAATCGCGTTTTTCACATGGAGTTTTACGCCACTTCATGTAAAGCGGGTTGTGAAACTACAGTATGCTATTACTCGTATCGTATTTTGACTCGCGAGGGTTTACCAATCAATATAAATTTCCTCGGAATAGTTCTGAAGTTCTATGATGTTCACAATCATCCTACAAATAGTACTAAGTATGAAAGCGATGATTATAATCACTCACAGTGAAGAGAATTTCAGCTCGCTGTATAACAAGTTTACGTCATATAGTGTGGAAGCATATCTGTGCCTCAATTGTATTTGACAATATTAAAACCGAAATAATTTCACATGTCAATTTTTTTAATGGGATTTTATGGGAATTTTCTATATTGTGGTTGTTTTAAATTGATTATTGTTAGATAAATTATCTACCTCGTGCGATCATTGGAGTTTCACCCGTTTTACGTGAAGTGGCGTACAACTCTGTGAAAAACGCAATATTCGCGGTGATATGCAGTAGTCGTGAAATATGTTTTTCACTAGTGTTATTCATATCACTAGGGTGAAACTTCAGTATCATATTTTCTTTTCTCTCTATTTTTCCAAGGTAGCACTCTTTTCAGTGGGCAGTATAGGAGTATGGCTGTGAACTCAGCAGCTTCATTAGAATTTTACACTTGAGTTTCGTGTGTCGCAGGTCTACGTGTACATCAACAATTTCTTCTGTCCCATGGACGACCAAATTATGGCAGACTTGTGTCGAGAATTCGGCAAAGTTGAACGCGATGATGAGCAACGAATAAAAGGAGGTAAATTCACAGAAAACTATTCGGCGATTACAACTAGGCGTTCTCTACTGGAGCTTTTTTCACTCTTGTTGATGGTGAATTTCGCTTTAAAACTTGACGAGTTGACGCTGTTCGTCGTGCTTGCCACTCTAGCGCGGGGCAGATCCCCGGTTCGAACCCCAAGGTCGGTATTTTTCATTCAAAGGTGTTTTCTGTGTATATAATTCTCGGTAGAGGTTCTCATGTGTTATCGAGAATTACGGTCCATTTAGCTTTTGGTTGTTTTTTCGCTGGGCTCAAACACATTGTGTGTTGAGGAGAAATAATTCTTCGGGAAAATCCGAATCGCAATATATAGCTCCGCTCCGTCCGAAATGACTCGTAATTATTTGTGTTGTTCTTGCAGGTTCATTGAAGTTGCATTATTCAGTTGGTCCTGCATATGCTTAGCACGACAGTGCTTTGATCTGGTACAATTTGTATTATTTTCATTTTCATTCAAATCTAATATGTTGTTGTTTTCTACCTGGCTATGATCATCAACAGTGGTAATACTCGAAAATGACAAAAAAAGACGCTGTTTTGTGAGCATCACTTTAATAGACCATGGACGGGAACCTGGAAGGCTTGATGACTTTAATAACCAAAAATTCGTCAAATTAGGGGTCAATCAAAGTGTAATTAGGGACCTCTTCTCAAATGGTGGTGATTGACTTTGGTCTTGGGCGCCATGATGAACACAACAATAAAGTTAAATGCAGCAGATAATAGCAGGACTGAGTAGGTAGCTGAGGAACCAAGATCGTGTGCAAGTGTCTGCCGCGGAAAAGCGAGTTTTTCTTCTTCTCTTGAATGACGATGTTTTTATGCTTTTTATTTTTCATGTCAACCATCCGCTAGGGTTCTACTGGTTCGATTGGCGTAGAATAATAACTCTTATGTGCAAGAGCACGCGTGCTGATCAGGTTGGCGAAGTATAACGTGTAGAACTCAATTCAGAAGGGGTTGAGATGCAGCAGTATGCCAAGCTGTTGATGATAAGTATTCATAGTTGACTTGGTATCTTGCTCTCGTGCTCTATAATCTATAGCTGACACTTTGTTGTCCCATGAAGCACTTCCAGATGTCGCTCGAAGATGCCCAGACGGGGATGCCGGAAGTAAATCAATTCTGTTATCATTTTTCATCGACTGATACCACTCCTCCATCAAATAGTCGCCAATTGCATGTAGCACATGTATGCCACAACTTGTGATTTGCCATTAGGAACTCTGGTGTTACGGTACTACTTCAGTACCGTTGTGCTTCCACTGTATGTCTGCTGCGAAGGTCAATAATTGAAAATGTACATTCATGAATCGCTTCGCTCCGTCTATCACAGTCGCGCGCGCCCTAGTAAAAGATCTCTACATTTGTAAGGCTGACATCACGTTGAGGCAGTTCGAGGAACATGTTCGCTTTCCTCAACTGAGCTCAGGAATTTCCTCACTAATTATAGGAGTTTACATACGAATTGTACAGAAACAATAATAATTTCCCAAAATTTTCCTGGAAATTTTCATATTGTCACCGACACATGTAATCGACTCTGTGCATCAGCAGTAGTGCCGACTTGTTATTTTCCTCATCTACTTCGATCGACAATGCCGGCGGTTGGAAGGAACACTAAGATGCAGCAATGGCTGAATTACCGAGTTAGAGTCACTCTACATGACGGGAGAATTATGGTAGTGATATAAAAAATAATAATTGTGGTGGTGACAATGTGCTTTGGTCAGATTGGTCAGTTCATGGCTTTCGATAAGCACATGAACTTGGTCTTGGCTGATACTGAGGAATTCCGAAAAGTAGCATTGATAACGACAACAGTCAAAACGTGGAGTAAATGCTTCCCTAGGTGCGGTCGAAGGGCGAGTCTGGGCTTGGGGAGGAAAGGGAGGTTAAGAGAATGCTCGGCTTGTTGGTAGGGAATTTTTTGGGGGAAATTGGTGGTATATTGCCGCGGTAGATCCTACGTGGTGAGAATATCATATCAATGACGGCGGAGGCGCCTCCACCTAATGTGAAGAAAAGTGAAGGCCCCATGGTAGTGGAATGGATAGGCTTCAATCGGGCAGGTTTTGAATCTTAGGCCGGCCCTGGTCGCGGGCATGCAGCTGGTCGTGGTGTCCCCATTGCACCCCTTGGTCAAGCTCCTCAAGGCCTTACTGGACCGGTATACCACTCCTTCTTCACATCGTCTTCGAACTGCCCTTGTCCTGGTAGATACGTGGTGTTGGCGGTCCTGCTCCTGCCCAGATGGCTCCTGGTGCTCCCCCAGGTAAGATGAAATCTTCGCTGTGCGCGCAAGGGTATCTTTGATCGATTAGGGATGCCTCCGATGCCTGGCTTCCCCGGAATGCCCCCACCCCCTCCTGGAATGATGCCTGGCATGCCTGGAGTAAGCTGACATTCTGGCGCTTCGCTCCGCTCATATTTTGTTCTCTTTTTAGCAAGGTCACTGATCAGCATTCCAGTATCTTTGAAATGGATAGTGGGCACATCCCGAGGAGTCTCTGGAAACGGCGTGTAGTGTTGGTGTTGTAGTAGTTAATGGTAGTTGAGCAGAACTACTCATCTAGTGTTAGTGTTTGACTGTGGCGGCTTACGGGAGTGTCGAGGGCATTGGCCTCTGGGGGTGCGATCCGATGGTGATGATTTCGTAGTATTATGAATAGGGGAAGGTGTGAACCACATGATAATGACGATTAAATTTTTATCATTTATTTTTATGTCATGCATCATAATTATATATTCGTGGCGGATCGAGGAAGCTGAGGATCGTCATGGACTAGAGCAGTGTTGGGAGAATATACCTTGGCTTTCCCTCGCTTGAGCTCGAACTGAAGACGTGAACTGGCAGTAAGGAGCAAACTATGGCTTCGGTGAGTGCTGTTAAGAATAAGAGAGTACATCAGTTATCTAGATGGATTGCAAGGGGATACTTGGATGATGGGGGTTACAGAAAATACCGGAGGGTGGTGGTGGAGGAGGATCTTTGACAGTCTACGTGGACGTACTATCACTAGCATCGAATTTGATAACAAGTGGCTTCGGGGGTGCTCATATCTTGGCAAGTTGGTGATACAAGTCGGAGCCCATGGGGCTCGTCCCGGTCACAGCTGCGACTCGCAGCCTGTGAGGGTTAATAATGTCTTTAATAAGATGGATGCAGTACCATAGCCGAGGTCCGGCATGTCCGTACCACCGTCGGCTGAAGTTTGCTCAGTTTTCATGGTGAGGATGTGTACAGAGGCGAATCATCAGTGGTAACGGAGTATACGATTGACGATTGGCTTGTGTGCACGCCAGTGTTCCTTCAATGACAGGTGAAGGAAGTGGTGGTGAGTCGCGTAAGGCGTGATACTGAAGCTTCAGCTGACGATGTACATGTTGGACAGTATGTGTCGTCGTCATCGTGGATGGTTGGCCGATTTTCATCGGAGTTCAGCGTCACATGGAGACCTTTCCGATGTAGTAGTGGATGATGGAAGTTAGCTGGTTTTGTTTCCTACAAATGTCCAATCGAAAAGGGAGCATAGAGGGAATATAGAAGCTTCAAATCAGCTTGATCAGCCTAAGTGACGAGTTAGTGTGGTATTGGGTGCATTCGCCCTGAAGATAGAGGAGTGGTATTAAATCTTTATAGTGTGATCGAATGAAGGGAATGTTTACCGCACGTTGGGCAAACTTGGAATACTATTGTTTGTCAAGTCGAAGGGGTCAGCAGGAGCTAGCAACAGATTTCTGATGCAAAGAATAAGTGGAGTTCCCATCTTTGTGTAGTTATGCAGTATGGGAATTTTCTAGTTGCCGTCATAACATGTGATCGATTATGTGCATATGGGAGTTTCCGTAAGGTTCGACCTGAGGCAATGCGGTTCTTGACTGATTTGCATCTGGCAGCCTTCAGTTCTGAGGTGTACGTGGTTATTAGAATTGATCAGACTGATCAACTATTGCGAGCATTGATGTATAATGGACAGCTCCGTACGACTGATGATGACCACCGTTGAAAGATTTGTGGAATTAGCTCCTATTGTTATCAAATTTATTGCTGAACTTGCTAATTCTTATATTTCCTCAACGCTGTCTCGAGTTTGTCAGTAGTTGGTGTGTTGAGGCTTCGAAACGACGATGTATTATGGGAGCAGGGTGACAGTCATCGGAGGAAAAAGCTATTTACACGGTTAACCATGAAGTGGACTAAGAATGGATGAAATGGACTTGGCTGGTTACGGACGATCGACAAACCGAACACAAGATGTAACACAAAGACAAAGCTTAGTTTTAGCTACGATGGCTAATGCCCTAGGAGAATACTAAAAGTACTTCATCTGTTTACAAGAATTGAATTTTGAATATGTCTGCTCCTAAAGAACTTATACTAAAACTACACTCGATTGAAGAGACTCTACGTGTGCGTGTAGAGGTTGACGCTTGCAAGAGCATGGCTCAGATCACTGGGTATATCGAGAAGGCTTGGCCTCAGCTGAAGGACGAGAAGTATCGTATCTACTACCTGGACGATTCGGATGAGCTGTGCGTGTTGAATGAACTTTCGGTTGGTGATGCTATCACTCTGCCCGCTAAGATGATGAGAGCTGGTGATGATGCTGTACCTGTTCTGGATCTTTTTATCAAGAAGGAGATTGATAGAGATCTGACTTCTCCAAGGGAGGTTAACCCTTCTGCTAGAAATCTGGCTAGACGGTTAACAGATTTCGACTACATGAACTCCTTTGATGATGCTTGGCAGTTGGTTGATAGTATGCTCGCTACTGGTCAGGATCTGGACAGTGTTGCCAAGCATCTTGAGACGAGGCAGGACAGGAAGCAGAAGTCGGTTGATGCGGCTCCACAAGAGCCTCCTGCCAGAGGTGTGAAGAGAATCGCTAGTGAAATGGAGAAGGATTCTAGTGCCGTTCAGCCTCAAGTAAAGACTAGTGGTAAAGTGTACGCCACTACTAGCGATGGTAAGCATGAGTATCATATCGAGAAGCGTGTCAAATCTGAGAAGGAGGCTGTTGATACTATGGTTGATCTGCTTACTGAGATGGGCTTCGTTGAGAGCAAGGATAAGGCTAAGGATCTCGTGAACAACTTAGTGGGTTCTGGTGAAGATCTGAAACGTGTTGCTGATCATATAATGTCGAGGGCGATAGAGCAAGAGAATGATTCTCCTCTCGCCTTGAGGGATCTTGATGATGAGCTGAAGTTGGTGGAAGCTGACGACACTGCACGAGACTTTGCTGATCTCCTCGATGACTTCGGTTTCGTTGGCAGTCGCGATGCTGCTCGCGAGCTGGTGGGTTCATTGATGGCTACTGAACAAGATTTAGGCAGTATTGCTGATCATTTCATGCGTCATGCTCGGACTCGTTCTCTGAAGGGCACCAAGAAGGTGGCTGATGCTCAGAAGAAGGCTGTTGGTGATGCTGTTGCTGCTGAGAAGAAGACTGCTGGTCAAACTCAGCCACAAGAGACGACAACTGCGTGAGGCTCATTACAATAATAGACTCTAGGATATTGTCCTACTGAATATAAGAAATACCATTTAGTTGATGTTATGATTCATTTCAAATGCCATATTATGGCAGTTTCAATAGCAATGAACGAGGTTGTGCAGCTCAGTAAATTTATACCATTTCAGCCATAAGGTCTGGTCGCTGAGGTTTCTAATGTATGGTCTCAATCAACTTGTGCATTTGTGCGCATCGGACGGCGTCATATGACGAACATAAGGGTAGCGGATGGATTAAGACTTGAAGAGACTTATACTAATGATGCCTCAATTCAATGAAAATGAACTCATCGTACGCCGCAAGTACTCAGCTACTCAGAAGCGTTCGGCGTTCATTGTCTCACCTGAGCTCTGATCACATCTTCCTACAACTGCTACTGTGAGTATGTAAGAGTCTATTGTTGTTGGCAGGTTCATTGATGTTTGGATTGATGAGATGTTCTGAGGATACTAGATTTTGTTAGGACTCTTCTGATGAGTTGATCCCCCTCAAGTGGGGCCGGTATTCCATCTCAAGATATACCTCGACACAACCAGTCAACACAACCAGTCAACACAACCAGTCAACACAACCAGTTATCCAGACGTTCCACGTGGGGCCACTATGCCGCCTTGAGAGGTGCCTCAACGCAATCAACTATCCAGACGCTCCACATGGGGCCACTATGCCACCTTGAGAGGTGCCTCAACGCAATCAACTATCCAGACGCTCCACATGGGGCCACTATGCCACCTTGAGAGGTGCCTCAACGCAATCAACTATCCAGACGCTCCACATGGGGCCACTATGCCACCTTGAGAGGTGCCTCAGCACAATCAGCTATCCAGACGTTCCAAGTGAGGCCGCTATGCCACCTTAAGCTATGCCTCAACGCAATCAACTGTCCAGACTACCGAACAGGACGGGGAGAAGATGAAGTCGAGCTCGTCGTTGATGAGGCCGATCTAGCCACGCGGGGCCGCTATGCCACTCTCAGATGGTATTTCACAACCCGTTTTACGTGAAGTGGCATAAAACTCGGTGAAAAACGCGATATTCGCGATGATATGCAGTAGTCGTGAAATATGGTATTCACCAGTGTTTTTCATATCACTAGGGTGAAACTCCAATAAATCTCTGTAGCGCGCGAAATGAAAAGATGAAATCATTCGGCACGACCGAAGTAACGGCAAACTCAGACAAATATCGGAATCAATTACTATTGACCTACAGAGTCCACATTGTTACGCGGGTGGCAGGATGAATACTTCGTCTCCTACATACGGTGATACTCCCCTGTTGCTGGGTCACAGGATATGCCTCAATCTAATTGTGACATAGGGATCTGAGTCGAATCCCTTGACACCGATGATCAAGGATTGAGAAACACTGGCTGGTCGGCAACCATCTAGGGTACACATCGAACCCGAACTCGAGCCTTCTCCTCGGGCAGCAGTATCATGAAAAGGCTAAAACCACAAAGCATCCGGTCAATCCTGGCCTATGCAGAGGTAGGATTGGATGAACGCGAAGCATGTTTTGTGACCACACAAAGATCAGAGCATCAGAGACAATGAAATCGAAGAGTAGCCACTTTAACCAACTCGCCGCCGCATTTGGAGCTCGAGATTCAGTGGTCCGTACGTGAAGGTAGCCTCGCCACGGACAATCGAGGAAGAGCAGTTCAATGAAATAGAATTGAAATATTTTAGGATCAAAGTTAGAATCACCACGGCCTCCTTGATGGCCATGTTCTTTCCAGGACATTGACGAGGGCCTGCACCGAATGCCAGATGATCACGTTCACGTGCTTGGTCTATCAACGAGCCGTCAGGAAGGAGCCAACGTTTGGGGCTGAGATGGATGGCGAGCTCAGAGATGAAGTAGCCGGAGTTGTAGATACTCGAATGTTTTCCCGCCATACGCATCTGCCACCATCGCCTTACGGAAGAGGGTCAGCACATTCGTCCCGGTGGGGATTCGGCGACCATCGAGTTCTGTGTCGTGAGTACACTCATGCAGAAGGAACACAGCCGGTGGTTGCAGCTGAGAGTGAACGCAAATATCGTTGGTTGATTACCAAGCACTCACCCTGAGGGCCTCGAGTATGCAACACTTAACGAAGACCAACCTGTCGAGGTCCTCTGTCGCATTGGGATCGTGGCCGAGAGCGTCCACTTCAACACGGGCCCTGTTCTGTATTTCAGGATATAGCGCGAGGTAGTAGAGACACCAGGCGACGGTCATGGCCGTAGTGTCACTACCAGCAACGAGGAACCTGATTACATTCATTACATACCGCTGTGTACTCAGTATCATTGCTGGTCTATTCACAATGTACCAGAGAATGTCAGATGCATAAGTGAGACTCACGTTATGAGATTTCCTCGCAAGTCCACTTCATCAAGATGGAGTAACTTGTCCAGCAAGTCATGCCTTTCAACTCCTTTTCCCGACTTCCGCTCCGCCCGTCTTTTGTTGATGATCTCGTCACATATTCTATTCAGCGTTTTCGCCCCTGAATGCATCTGACAACAGGGGCGAAGGACGACTGGACATCCGCGTGAGGTGTTCACCTTTTTTATCATCGGATTAAGGTTCCAAGGGAATCTGTCTCGTGTAATCCACGGCATGGCACTACGTTGTAAAGCATAACCAGAGCCGACTAGCAAATCATTCATCGCCAGCTGAAGTTCGCCAGACTGGTGGCCTAGAGGTACTCCTGAACAGACTAAGACATGGCACTCGAACACCGTTGCTGGTGTCAGTTCCGAATGAAGCACTCGAGAGTTCTGAGTCGAAGCCAATGCGATTTCATCACACTGTAGTGTTGATGACCCTCCTTGATGGCCGTACACAATCGATGGACCATCGACGATGGTAAAAGGGAACGGAGCCAACAGGACTACTGTAGACCGTACTATGATGGGAGTGAGTACGGCATTTGATGAGAAAGAGTGCATAAGATGAACCGTGTGCTCACCATTTGGGTTCAAGAAATTATAGTCCTTCCCGAGAGTCGTGACACATAAGACATCCAGAGTGCAGAGGGGAAGCCATTCTACGGGCCGCCAAACGATGCGACCATCCTGACTGAGGCGCTCCAACTGGCGTATCTACAGACAGAAGGGAGGGACAGCGACGCGAATGGAGACCTCACCAGCCTCAGAGCAATTTTGGACATGTCGGGAATCATAGCCATAGAGTTGCTGTCGTTGAAGGCTGGTGCACCCAATCGTCTGTTCCGTTTCCAAACTTCGCCTTCCGTATTGAACATTCCCTCCATAGGCATTATCTTGTGCTTATTGGAAGGCTTGATGTAGGTCCTCGGACGTGCATTCAAGACTTGACGGATAAGCTCAGAATCGGAGACAACCACCATGCCCCTTCCAAGAGATCTAAGAACGGAACAGCAATTGGCTCCGTACCGCCAGTGACATACAGATGATCCGACCGAGTTGACCGAAGCGACTTGCAACACTTGTTGGATGTCTTACTTTATGTAGTATATAACTCCATACGTATCAGCGTAAATCTCTGTGGCATGGAAGATGTGGTCTAGTGATTTCGGGATGAAACCAAGGATCGGGAGGAGCTGAAATACGACGGGAAGCTCGCAGTTCGGAGAGATGCACTCTTGCATTTGCAGCTCACATGATTGGGTCCACCAAAAACTGCATGGAGATCTACCGTGGTACGCTTCATAAGCCTCAGAGCTTTCACGGCAAGCAGAGAGGCTACACCAGTCACTACGATCACCGTTCCGTGGGTCCGCAAGAGCGAGCGGCACCTCAATATGAGGTCCTGGACACCACGGAGAATGGATTCCATTTATCGTGTTCAATTTGATTCTGATTAGTTCACAATCATGAGAGTCCAAGAGTAACAATATGATTAGCCACCTCCGGAATTTATTGTAGGGATCGAAGAAGTCTATGCCGCAACTTAGTGTGTTACTCGAGAATTGTGTTGTGCAACTTTCACATCACTCCATATGCTGCTATAAACTAAGAGCAATTAAGGCGAAGTCATGGTCGACTGAACCGGTGATGTTGCTGTTATTTTTGCTGCTGCTGCTGCTGCCGTTGTTGTTGTTGTTGTTGTTGTTGTTGTTGTTGTTGTTGTTATTGTTGTTGTTGTTGTTGTTGTTATTATTGTTGTTGTTGTTGTTGTTGT